TAGACACAATTCGATTGATCAGTGAAACTATCCTCTCTCTCTTCAATGAATAAAGATTTCCGGGTAAACAAGTTGATGAAGCACAGTATGAGTAGAAATCATTAGATGGAAATGAAAGTATCAGATAGTAATAAGATGAAGAAATTGACATCCTTCAAGAAGGATTCATCACAATCTCTTCATGTGTACATATATCACATTTGAAGTGTCTGAATGCAATGAATGAGAAGGTGTTTGAGATATCTGTTCATTTTTCTATCATTTGTCTCTATGTTGTACTTGCCAAGATGAAAGTGTCTTTGAAATACAAATCTCTCTGAACATTTTCATGAAAGAAGTTATGGACAGGCATCCAATTCTCTCGTTCCTTTGCTATATACTTCCTTCCACAAATACACATGAATCGGTATATGCAGATGACAGGGATGAGATAAGGATACTTAACTCAGTTAGCATGTGGTCTTCTAAGCTAATACTAATCCACTATTTATCGCTTCTCTCTGATACATATCTCATCTCTTCTAAATGCATGATCAATGAAAATCGATTTCTATTCAGAAGTCTGGTGTGGGAAGCGATTATTCACTGAAAGGCAGGTGGATCCAGTTAACAAGATGCAAATAAGACAAGACGCGCTTACTTGTAATTCATCAACACGAGAAGATTGATGATTACCTGATTTGATGAATAAATCCCTTTGAAGTAATGCATTATTTAACAGAGTTCATAAGAACCTTACACCATTTTAAGACAATGTCGCCTAGTTTACTAGTTCACTAGTCTTCTAGCCAGTCTTAAGTCCGGATAGAGAGGGAAGGTTGGGCGTACTGTAAGCGACCGTACTCTGTAAAATCCAATCCAATCGCTAAGAAAAAAACTCCAAAGTGTAGAGGAAATATAAAAAGTGAAAATAAACTTATTCCTCACTGAAATTGGAGAGATGAAATGATGCTGGTTGGTGAAAGCCTTTGTGAAGCTATTTGGCTGATATATCTTCTCTTCTCTGGATGAAAGTGAAAGTAAGAATGGGTACATGGAATGTGTGTAAAGTGTTTCAATCTGGCTGACAATTCTGCTCAGATTCCAAAAGAGATGAGGAGGTATGGCATAGAATTGGTAGGAATCTGCAGATTGAATGGAAGTGGACTGTCTCAACCATCAACTGGAGAGGAATCAATAATCTACTTCGATATTGTCAGTCAAACGACAATCAAGAGCTCACTGAGTTTTGGAGTGACTATCATGATGTCCACTTGAAGAGAATGGAAGGCTCAGTGTCATGCAGTGAGAACTAATCTCCTCCAGTGTCAGAATCATGACAGCATGATTCAACTCAAAAGGAAGGAAAGTCACAATCATACAATTCTACCCTATGCACCTACATATAATGGAGACGGGGAGAAGGAGGAATTCTATATACAACGTTTTGAACAATCCATAAACTGAGTTCAGCAACAGGCAGCTCAGTTAAAATGAAGTTTGTTCACCATATTCACCTACAGAATTTAGCTTGAAAGATGAACTTTCGCATTTATCATAAGTGTAAAACTTTGGTGTACTGCAGTTAGTTACGTTTCAAGCATACATAATCATCATCACTCATAATCAAATGGATGTCATCACACAACTTTCAAGATATCACCCACCTCATGGTGGTGGTAAAATCTTCCACATTTATGATCTCGACATTGTGTCATTACTATTACACATCTGTTGGGTGGGTGTTCATTCGATGAACAAAGATTCATTCAGTATTCAGTCTCTCTCTCTCCCTCTCCCTCTCCACCTAACTTTATTTCACTGGTTGTACACTGGTTATGTGTTAGGATATACATTACACAACAGATGAATGTTGTTCTAGATTCTTAACCCTATTTGTTTTTGTGTTATGCTTTGAAACTTCTATAGTCCACTGTTCACATGAAGGAATATCGATTGGTTTCCAACCAGAATTGAACGAACACCTGACGACAATAAACAGAGGAAAATATGCCTAAATTTATACATAGTCTGACACTCACCACCCTACTATTGTCAACAATTCACCACCTACCATCATTAGACAAAGGCACTCAGGGATTTTAGCTTATATTATCTGGGTGGTTGGCAGACAACTGGACAATTTCTGGAGTTAATCGGTGACTGCTTCATCGCTTTCATTATTCGATGATGACCATTGGTGTAGTGATTAGGGTGAACCTCATCATTGGCCTGCAAGCCATACCACAGTTACTTGCAAGCACGCCGGTCAACTCGAAGGACGTAACAATTGAATAGCCCAAACTTCATCACACATCTCGTATGGATTTGACAACTCTTCCATCCACCATCGGTGCACATTACACATCCATCTAACCAAACGGGTTCGTCATCTCAGATTAGTTCCTACATTATTCATACTGGTTGGGTTACTTAACTTCGATATCCTAGATGTGGACGGAAACACCGTGAGTTGGTTCACAGGCTCCAGCATTTTGTAACGAAACTCAAAATATGATAACAATCAAGATCACTTGAAAATCCAGGTATGATTGAACTCAAAAGGAAGGAAAGTCACAATCATACAATTCTACCCTATGCACCTACATATAATACAGACGGGTAGAAGGAGGAATTCTGTAAACAACTGGAATCAGTACTGGACAAGACCCCAGTTGTCGACATGATTCATTAGAACCTTAAACAATTTTAAGACACTTCTTTCAAAGGTTGATGTTAATCAGTCATTCATGATTCTTTATATATATATATATATATATCACTATCTGAGAACGTGGGACAGCTGACCTAGAGGCCACTAGTTCCAATCTTACCATGACCCCAATTTTCACTTCGTCTTCTTACATCATCATGGAGTATTGATAATACAAGTCTACCAAACCACGCGCCTATCTCAGATAGTCGAACTGACTATCATTAACATGCCACCTCCTCTGTTGAATTTATTTCTGAATGGTAAATTCTGATCGGCTGGTGTTTGTCAAAGTCATTTGTATCGCTCGTAGACTGTTACGTCACACTACCAGTCATAGACATATACGATGTGAACAGACAGTAACGTATTAATAGTTCATGTGGTGAAATTCTTGGTGACTGAAGCGAAATCGTGTCGCTTAGCCCTCAGTTGATAGATCACTGAGATAGTCGGCCAGAAGGCGGTTTTTTGAACCCACCCGATATCTATCGTTATTATCATTATTTGTCCCTTGGGTTCCTAGTGGAACGTAGAGCTTAAGCAACACGTCTTCATTTCACTATCTTACTTGAAATCTTCTACCACCACCTGGCTTCACGACTGCCCAAAACCTTTCATTTCTTCTCACGCCATCTCCTGCATGTCACACTGGCACGCCCAAATTGTCGTTTCACATTTCGGTGCCAGTTGACGACCTGGCTTTGGGCATGCTGTCCTCAAACCATCTTCTCAGCGCATATCTAATCCAATCTATCTCCAGTTTCTTCGACTGCATATTCGTTGAGTTATAGATTCTCGGTTAGTTACCAAGATGGAGTTCCTTGTTGCTTATTCTTATTATTCTGACCCTCTCATATTCAGTATGGAGTGGGCGTAGGCGGCAGCTGTTCATGTATGATGTCTGCAGCTTGTTCGAAATGCTCTTCGTAACACGCCAAGCGTCTCAATCATCATACACAAGCACTGACTTGACTGAATTAGTGTTGAGAATCCGGATCTTTTTCACCCTATATGTTGAGTGGAGTGGAGTGCAGTGCAGTGCAGTAGATCTCCACATTGATTTCGGGTTCATGAAGAAAGGCCTGTCTCGCTGTTTTTCCGATCCTGGCTTTGACATCCTCATCTGTGCCTGTGCCACCTGTAGTTGGACAGATGCTACCTCCAAGGTAGATAGGTAGGTGAAACAGACAACTTCCTTTACATTCCTCCCGTTGATAGTGATTAGTGTTTGTTGTTGCTGGTTGGTCCGTTATCTTCATCATTTTTGTCTTCTCTATCTTCACCTGAACGAAGTCCAATCTTCCTTCGCTGCCCTGCCTCTTCTATCAACTTGTTGGCTTTTGCCTGTAGACCTTCGAGTTTCTGCGACAAGACATCAGACATAAATCAGCGTCGAGGTGAAATGCAAATGTTCTAGGATGTTTTCATCGGTCAAGCAGCATATGCCCATCTTCTCACTGCTTCTCACAGTTGTTTTTTACATGATTCAGTTCAGTTCAGCCCAGTTCAGTCGACCACAGTGAGGAGGATGATCGGTGATAGTAGCCGGTAACCTTGTCTTACTACAGTCTTCACTCCACTTCACTTCAAAGGCATCACTGAGCTTTCCATTGTCAATCACTTGGCATGTATCATCCTCATTTAGCATATAAGTGCTGCTGAATGAGGTTGATACAGGTTTAAGGCATCAAGACTGTAGTGTTGAAGCAGTTGCTAAATTACTTCTCGATCGATGCCTGAATCGAAAATCTTTTCGAAATCGATGAAGTTGACGTAAATATCCAATTGACTACCATTCTATGCTACGTTCTGTAATGATACGTAGCACAGCATGGCAATTTGATCCGCATATGATTTGCTTTTCCTGAAGCGAGCCAGTCAGCTTGTTCCGGAGATATTTTTGAATCCAAAGTATCCTTTACTCTCTCTCTCTCTCAGGATGATACGGCTTAATACTTTGGTTTTTGTGGATAGGGGCATGATTCCGCCCCAGTTCTTGTAAAGACTTAGGTCTCCCTTCTTTGAGAGTTTGACAAGATATAAGTAGTTCTTATTCTAATCCTATGTGATCCATTATTCTGAATGTATTTGAATCTTTAAAGATGTCTAGAGTATTCTTCATAGTTTTATGATCAAAGTGTTTAGTAAAGAGGTTGTTTTTAATACCCGTAAGATTACACTGCCTGTTATCTGACTTTAATAATTAAACACAATGGAACAGCGACATTAGAAAATTCACGGGATCATCAGTTTAATCAGAGAGATCTCCGAACATCATGATACTTCTATACTTCACAAAACTTACCTTGTTCAATGAATTCGATTGATAAAAACTACTATGTAAAGAGTTACGATTGATATTCTTGTTAATTAAATTCAATTGACAATCATCTGTTCTTTCAATGGTTAAAGTGTGTTGTAATTGTCGTCTTGGCTTCATTTTGTTTGAAGTAATACACTCTGATTGTGGTTTAACATAACTCATAGCTTTACGCAATGGATGACGTAAGAATCCGGAACGATTTAACTGATTAACATTACTAACAGTTGGATCATTGATAATTTCATGAATTGGCGTTGTTGTCTGACATACAGTTGAAACCTGTTGATGTTTTGTTAAATGTCCTGAATTAAATGTTCTCCACCTTCTATGATTGTTCACTGTAGTGTATTGACTTGAAGTAGTACTCCTGAAAGTTTAGATAAAAAGAAGAGAATAGAACATACATTTTTGTATTACAATCAAATCTTCAGCAGTAAGGATCTATGATACCGTCTAGCTAGAGATTGAACTCAGGATCTTCAAATTTCCCAGCGAATACATGAACTATTCAGTCAATACGTAAGGCTTCATTGATATGCAATTTCCTACTTTTTTATATGACTATGTGATATAGTCACTTCACTTCCGACTCAGTCAACTTTACACTTCATGGTTTCTCATTAGATTTTCTTTACATGGGGTGAGAGTGTGGTTTTATGGGTGCATACTTCTAACGAGTCCCATACTAACGTAAAACAGATACGCTTCCATCCTCCTGTATCGTTTCAATGGTTTTTCAAATAATATCAGTTCATGATGAATTCTACCCTAGAAATTAAATCCTCATTAACCTTAGAGTACATTAAATAAATAGATAAATATTTGACCAACATCTCATTGTCACAACAGACATCATCACTACTGATTGAATCAGAGTTTTATAAGCAAGTGAAGTAATTGGTTGTGTATGGTTATTTATAATGTTCTATTTTGCATGAATGGAATCTCATTGGTCGCTTACGGAGTGTGTAGGCGTATCTCAAATGTGATTGGCTGATTTCAACTTTGTGAATAAAGTAGTAAGCTTTTCTGTGATCTGATTGGCTGAGACAGTTATTTGATTGAGGCAGTCAAGGTTGCCTTAATCTGATTGGTTGATTTTTTGTATTGCATAGGGAAGGCTTTTCTTCCTAAACACTGATCAGATGACGCCAAAGCAATTCAGCATACTGATGAAAATGTCTACTATGACACTGAAACGTCCGTGGATTAAAAAATTAAACGCAGGACAACTCACCGTGAAGATACATAAACGGGTGCATTACTAAAATTTAATTCGCCTCATGCTTGAATTATGAATCGTTTCATCTCACGATACAAGTACAGAATAATGACGGATAAGATTACAGAGGGAATTCAACTATCCATTGGTGCTGTGAGGATTCAAGGAGCTCAACTGCATCAACGTAGAAAACTCTACTTTAAAATTGACAAGGTCAGTAGTGTTATCGAAAGTAACCATGACCTTGAAAAGTGTGGTACACTGATAAACAATGAGAATCGTGAATGGACTGGACATTCAAACTACAAGCCCTCTGAAGTACAAACTAAGCTACAAGACAGCTGGAGAAAGCTGATTCATAATCAGGGCTTCGCTTTGCTTTCATGTGAAAGCATCATACTCTAATGTTTTCTTACGTTGGTTAAAGTCAATAGGAGACGGGAGGTTTACTTTCAGGTTTCTGGCTTGTTGACACTTATTAGCAAGGTGTATTCCTGCGACTTTGAGAGATCAGAAACCAGGTCATGCAATTCTGGATTCAGAGACATTAACATTGAGCTATTCAAGTCACAACTTCATGTTGTTTATTCTGCATTACTCATCAAATTCTGTCTATCATTTTGTGATGACACTGGTTCCAATCTGAGGCATGACATCGATTTACTTCGAAGTTGCAGATATGCCTTGCTCAAAAAGTGCTTCCTACCAATTGTTGCCACCCAACTAGTATCTACCAAAGTGTACAATGATTAACTGTAAAAGCTTTCCAAGGCTTCTTTGAAGAATCTACGGAGGGGAAAAGTGAAGATATTGTCTAACTCAGAAAATAACACACATCAGATTCAGTAAGTATAAGACTATCTGAGATAGATGTGGTTCACTGCAAGTTACCTAACTGATGTATGGAGTGATGAATGAGGGTGAAATTGAACTACAACTGCGGTGCTCTATCGATTTATCGATGAGGTACATGCTATATACGCTTTATTTTTTATAGATTTTGCCTGCCGTTTCGTTCATGACCTTAAAATAACCAACATGGGTGTTTTAACACCCTTACTACTTTTTCTTCCCTTTTCTCTCAAAGCTAAACACTTATCGGTTGTTAATCATATGTGGATTCAGCGATATCAAGGTCGTTTAGAAGTGTTTATATTCAGCATCCCTGTCAACTGCATTGACTGCTGTTGAGATAATAAGAAGCTGTTTATCCTCGTATCACCTCCCTCTTCGAAAGAATTTTTTTGGGGTCAGAATGGGCTGACCTGTCTTTTTCATGCATCTGTCTGACCGACGTTAGAGGAAGTTTCTCCTTGTTTACTGGGAGAGCAGTAGTCTTCTCGATATACTTTCGATGGCCACGTACATGGGCATAGAAATCAACAATCAAGTTGGGAGATTCACCTACTGGTCGAGAATGAGATGCGCAACGACCTCTGTATATGTCGTTGTGTGTGTTGGCAGCAAAAACCGTCCTTATGGCCCCCCAGCACTGCTGTCGCGGCATCGGTGTTGTTTAGGTGGACAAGATTCGACGAAATGCCAGGCACTACAATCCCAACAAGGCGATGGGGGTGTCTTCTTCGACGGTCGTTTGCTATCGCATGAGATACCAGGCCAATGAACAGAGGAATGAGATATCTGGCTAACTGTATGTACTTGAGAACCATTCTGGCATCCGGATTGGGCTAAACTCGTATCCCCCTGTAGGTTACCCAGTCGTTGATATTCTGAAGACATGTCACTCAGTGTCTGAACTGTGGCGCCGAAAGTGTGATCACGTGAATTGTGCGGAGAAAAAACTTCCTTTAGGTTTCTCCCGTTAATGGTGATAAATTGAATTCTAAAATCATGATCTCATCACCGAAAACTGCTAGATTTCACAACTCTCAATTGGTAGATGGCTACATAAGTAAACTGGGCACCTGTCGCAAACTGAATCCTGCTATATGTTGTATTGAATACACTGAAAGTATGCAACCGCTGACCGGTATGGTTAAACTCTTTGATTCAAAGTTTTCCCACAACCACCAACAGCTTTGAGGCAACGTTCGCCAAACAAAAGGAGACTATTGGATTGAGAATGCGAATCCGCGGAATACCGTAAGAATCAATCAGCAAAAACTGCTGCCTACTACAAAATGGCTTGATCGCATGACCCTCTGGCTTATTATTTGGTGCTGTGGTATTAAGGTTCAGTATTAATGCCATCACTCACACAGAGGAAGGTAAACTCAGCTGGTAAGCCCCTAATGAGGTAAAACATCCAAATCCTGGATTCTAGCGCTAACCCCCATCAAGGAAATAGAAAACGGGTATGTAAAATCTTGGGCATTGGATCTCGACCTGGTGACTCAGTGGTAACATGATCGCTGTGAATTCTGACGGTCATGAGTTGGATTTCTGATGGGGTGGGGCCATGGATGCACCCTGCTGAAGAGTCACTCCCATACTAGGACCAAGCAGCTGTTGTCCACTGCCACAACTGATGCTAATCCATCTCTAGATGCCTCGATACCACCTTACTTGGTGGATGGCAAAGGGAACCAGGATGCCGGTTTCATTCAACCTGGGTCTTGTCAGCTGGATTTACTTGAACCCCAGTAGGTGATGGTGTTCCTCTCCCCCCCCCCTCCACCAAATCACACAGGACTCGAACCGAGTACCTATCCCTCCAAACACCAAGGCCTTCTCCACTAAGCTACTGCCTTGGTTTTTGAATCGATGGGCGTAGGCTTGGATTCTCAGTAGATGGAAATAACGTCACTCAGTGAGATACTGATCCACCTAATTGATGAGTCTTTGATAGGACGAAAAGTCTGTGTCACGGATTTCACTGGTAGCCAGTAAGTCTATTGCTATCAAAACATAATGTTCTAGAGAGAGAGAGAGAGTGTTGTCACTATAGTTACACCGAATTTGCTGACCAGTTGACGATGTTCTATACACCATGCAACATTTCAAGTTATTTTATGGTCACAGTTCAGTTAGTAACACTTCTAGTAGAGAACCAATCTATTCATTCACAGTTTAAACTGCTTTAATACTTAAGTGAAACTAGATTACGGTAGGGCTCGAGCTAGTGATATAATGATTATTGACGTAGCCACCATTCTATCAACTAACTTACTAGACAAGTCTTCATTTCAGCCAAGGTAGGTTCCACCTAGCTGTAAATTGAATACTTAGCACGTGATTCTACGTGTCATAGATGTCAAGTGGTCGCGAGACTATCTGTCAACTGCTTTCGCTAACTCAAGCTTTCATGATAACGGATACCTATGAAGTAGAAGAAGCGACAACAGAGAATTGTGTATCTCTAGTCGTGGGTTGAATAACGCAGTGCTGACGTCACTAAATACGGTAGTTTTTTGTACTGTATACCCACGCCTAGTTGGAAAGTGCCAATACGAATGGAAAATAAGTGAAGCATGTAACAGGAGATTATGAGAGTATTCAAACAAGAACTAAGTATACAATGTCCATGCTTAGAAAGAAAAGTTGGTGGACAGTATACGTGGACACAGAAATTGATGATAGTCGTATCCATCTTACGTCGATTGTAGGACCTTGGTACAGTTGTCTATGACACGAAGAACATGATCACAGGAAGGAATTTAGATGTGAGACGATTAGTTGTCGTAGTATGTATGTCCAAAGAACAGAGAGGGGCAAACCTGGTGGTCGTGAGGACAGATACTCAACGATGACATTGTGTGGTGGTCGGACTATGTCATGAATCAACAGAAGTTGAAAATATGGACGACTGGATTTCGCCAACCCAGTGGCTAGCTCGATAGTAATGTGCTGGCCATGGAACCTGAAGGTAGCGGGTTCGATCTCTGGAGAGGGAGGGGTAGTGAGTGTACACTTCTGAACAGTCCCTTACTGGTGAGACGAAACAGCTTTTGTTCACTTCTCCCAGGTTTCCAATGTTTTTCCAACTGATGTCACTCCACGATGATGATGATTTACGAATATTTGTTATTTGTGTTCCTAGTTGAACAAAAGGCTTCAGAAGCACGTCTCCATTACATTCTCCAATCTGCAGTCTGGCTCTACCTGGCTCCACGACTGTCCACAAGCTTTCATTTATTCCTCATATGATCTCCTGTTTGTCACCCGTGGATGCCTAACTCGTCGTT